AAAAAAAAAAAATACTTAATTTTCTAAAATATAACTTTTGAAAATTTTGATTTTTCAATTCTCATAAATTTTTATTAAATTACTTTATTTATTATTTTCTGCCAACTAATATCTCCAATCTTTGAAACGATCTTTGAAACAGGATCTTGTACAAACACTTTATAAAATTTAATAACATCAAATCATTCAAATATCAATTGGAGCACGAGGAAAAATTTCACGTAAAATAACGTTGGGCAAAATCAATAAATCTAAATTTAAAAGCCCCTCCCCCGATGAGAAGAAGAGCTCGCGTTCAATGATTCGTTGAGCGGCCACGCGAATCTCGATCGCGGCAATAATTCATCTCCAGCATCCTCGAAGTCGGGCGGCAATATTACCGGATAAAATAAGCCATTAAGCGACGTAGCCGCGGAGTATCTCTTCTCGGGCGTTATACGAAGACGTTCATGAAGGCGACGTCTTCCTCCGCGACCGATCGTGGAAGACGGAGGGCTGGCAGGGTTGGAGGAATCGAGGGTCGAAGCCAGGATTACCCATCCGACCGAAAGGAGATTCCACTAAGCTTTCAGATTTTACCCTCTTAGCCGACCAAGGATTATAAAACGCAAATACGTCCCTTGATTAGTGAGGATAAAGTAAACATCGGCTTGCCGTCGCGGCTGTTGCTCGCGCGAAATACGTCGTCGTTCGTGAGAATGACTCCATTCTCTGGAATAGTCGTTTGTGCGTTGAGAGTGAATCAAGAATGAATTTATCTCGAAGAGATTTTTTTTTCTTTTTTTTTTTTTTTGATTCGAAGCTTAGCTAAATTTTCTTATTTCGATCAATTATTAAAATCGATAATTAACAATATCCATCTCGTGTTCATTGTGATCTTATTCGAGGTATTTAAAGGTACAAAGGTGTTTTCAAACTTGCAATATGAATCGAAATGTTTATTTTTTCTAAAAAAAAAAAAAAAAAAAAAAAAATGTCGAGTCGAAAATGTCAATCGGCGAAAGATGTAAAAGAAAAATCGGCGGAGGATCGAGGTCCGAAATTCGATATAATTTCGAGGGTAATTTCAAGATAGCCACTTTACGGGGATAAACTGTGGGAAGATAGAAGTTTAGAGCGTAGGGAAGCCTCAAGCATCCTACGGAAGTCTGGCTCTAATTAAGCGCCTCCTACCCTTGCCGCGGTTCCTTCACTCATCATCTTTCATCTCGCTTCAGCATCCCTCTCCGTCAACCGTTCACCCGCCTTCTCAGAATCCTCGCCAAGATCTGAGGTGAAGGTAACCATCCATCCTCCGCGTGTTATCATATTCCTGATTGTTATGTCTTCGCTTGACGATACCTCCGCCGCTTACGTTCTTCTCTCCACGGTTCGATAATTTCTCTCGTCCTCTCTCTCTCTCTCTCTCTCTCGCACACACAATGTTTTTCTCCGATTCGAGAGAACCCCCTCGCGTCTCGTTTTATCTTTCGACTCGTTCTTACCCTTACGTGTACACCGCGGCTCCGTCTTGTTTCTTCATGGCTGCCTGGAAATACGAGAGAGCACGAGCTCCTAATTAAATTCCACTCTTTCCTTGCGTGTCTTTTTTTTTTTCTNNNCTTCTTTTTTTTTTTTTTTCTCGACGTTTCCTCAACCGCAACTTAATTGCGCCGGAATCGAAATGGCTGTTGCCCTCGCCAGCGATCCCCTTCCTCCTTCTCTCTTAATTGGCGCATAATTATGTAAACAATTCCAACGTCGGAGGCCGGGCCATCCTCCCCCTCGTCTTCAATTTAACCGCGACTCTATACTTAGCGGTGTCATCAGCCGTGACAAATCGCGAAACTATTCCGCGGCGATGAGGCTCGCGAGCCAGGGGGAGGACACGTGATGAGGGGAGGGGGAAGAAATTAGCGAGCTGGGTAATTAGCATTTATTTGTGTAATCGAAACGAGGATATCTCGAGGAGTCTCTATCGTCGTTTTTAATGGTCGACCATGCCGCTGAAAAAAATGGCTTCGAATCGATTTCGAATCAGGCTTGCTTTGTACTTAGGTCGAGGCTTAGGTTAGGAGAGGAAACTTATATGATATACCGCAAGTAAATATATCGTTTCTTCTTTTTCGATATTTGCGTGGATGATTGATAATGATAAAAAAAATTAAGTCTAACTAATATTTAATATTATTAGAAAGAGTTAGGAGTTTAAAAACTACTCGTTCTTTATCTTTAGGCCGATCAGTATACACTTTCATCACGATCTATTCGAATTACTTTCATAAAAAAAAAAAAAAAAAAAAGGAAAAAATTCAATCTGAAACGTATCGAAGGGAAAAGTTGAACTCGACCATCTGAGGCGCCACATCGCGATTAAAAAACTTGTCGATTAACAAAGAGTCTCGGGAACGACTTATTTACAACCGGTTCAAGACAATACCCACAACTGTGGTGGGATGAAAAGTGTTGGGCACGAGGAGGGGTGGTGTAAGGGATGGAACTAAGGTGAACCGTGCTTGCGGCAACATTATCTAAAATTCAAGCTGTAATTACTTTGCTGGGCGGCGCTCCGCTTGATTTATAGTCATCGCGCGATGCAGCTGCGTGGGTGTAAGTAATTAAAAATGTACCATCGCGTGGTATGGTAGCCTTCCCTCTCCCCTACACCCTCTTCTCCTCTTCACGGGGAAAGAGGGTGTTTAGAACGGGTCTTCGCTTGTGTGCGAAATAGGGGTTGCTTCTTTTTCCCAAACCCCTCCCTCCCCATCTCGTGTTTCGCCGAAAACGATTGCCCCGCGAAGATTCGAGCGATTCGCTCAACTGTTCCTCGAATTTCATAACCGGTTCTGAATTATTGTCCGTTATATTCCATTTAAACGTGTAGACGTAATTGATCCGGCTAGATTCGTTCTTTGATTGAAAGATTTTTTTTTTTTAAGTTTGAATATTTAAAATATATTAAGTAAAATTGATCCTTCGTTTTTCTTTTTTGATTTATTGGACATTAATGGAAATATTTTTATAATTTTATTTATTTCGATATTGATATTAGTGATTGATACGATTTTTTTTTGTATTCCTTCGGAAGTTGTTTTTCTTTAATCGAAAAGTCGATGAAAAAATGGGATACAAGTAAATTCACACGATGAATTACAATTTAATTTTTCGATTTTCAACTGGAATTTGAATTCAAGTTTTATGATATACTATCATCTTGACTTACACAACAATATTTCCAAGCTGTCTGTCGAAATAACAATCAGAGAAAGATTCGAATCCCTCTAAGTCGTTTCTCTTTCATTCCTCAGAGCGAATGGGCGACGATTAACTGTCCAACCAAGGGGGCAACGATCAATTCGGTTCACGGGTAACGTCGGCCATGGCGGTTAGTTGGCACAGTCTCCAGGTTAATTGGCCATTCATGGTTAATTTGGTCTGGCGCGAACCCGTAAGGCGATGGAAACGACCCTTCGACCCTCCGGAGACCGACTCGTCGATTTCGTATTCGTCACGTGACAAGAGGGGTCGAGGTCCTCGCGCCGATTTCACTGGACACGATTCACGAATAATCTCGCGAGGAATAGTAGAGTATATAGCCTCGCGCCATTTTCTCCTAGCCGTGCCTCCACTTTCTCTTTCTCTCTTCTCCTCTCTCTCTCTCTCTCTCTCTCTTTCTCTCTCTTTCTCTGTCTCTCTCTGGAAACGTTTGCTCGATACTCGCGCCGCGTATTAATTAGCCCACCGTTAACGAGCACGCGGTTAAACGGTTCGTGACCGTGGATCGTCCGACCTGCGAATCGTAACAGTTGTTACACCGATAGTGGCTGCGAACGAGGCGACGGGGTGGCGTGTACATTGGTGGAAAAACGCGATTCGACGGTGAAACGAGGGTGGAAAAGAGTTTTCGAGGGTTGAAATTTCGTAAATCGCGAAATTATTCTCGTAATAATTT